GGGCGGGGGTCTACATAAGTGATCCAAAACCTGGACGTTTTCCCTTACGTCTGTCTCTGTTTTTTTCCCTCGGTGCCTCGGTCAGGTGGCCAAGGACGTGTCGGTGCGCTTGCACCATGAGCTGGAGAGTGTGGAGGAGAAGAGGACAAAGACTGAGGAGGAGAATGAGAAGCTGAGGCAGCAGCTGATAGAGGTGGAGGTCACCAAACAGGCCCTGCAGAATGAACTCGACAGAGCAAAGGAGGTGAGAGACGTTTCATCTTCTCTATCAATGCAAATGTAAGTTTTATTGGCACTAATATATTAATCTCAGGTGACATTTGAACATGAAGGAGCATCACAGAGCGAGCAGAAAGCATGTCAGTCTTCAGATGTGAGGACACAGTTACAGCAAAGTTCTGCGAAGTCATGTTTCACAGTCTTTTGCAGGGTTTTCTCATATAACCTTACTTGTAATCTGCAGTAATCCCAGTCATTTTGTGGAAACTGTGTCAAAATACAATACAGTACAGAAAGAGAACTTTTTTTCTCGTGCTTTTTCGTGATTTTCAAGTTAAGAACAATATAATTTACTAATTTTGTAACATAAACAACATAAATTCCATAGAAAAGATACAGTATAGAACAGTGTGGTGTGGATCTGCTAACTGTTTTAACCTCTCTCTCTTTTGATTGTTTTATACTGCATTACGATGCCACCTAAATGCACTGTAGGCCTTTTTTTGGACTACATCCAGGATTCATGTTTTTTCACAATTTGCAAGTAGCCTACACTAACCTCTGCAAAGATCGGGGCTTCGCTGTATTCAACTAAACTGCTCAGGGGGCCACAGTTACTAAAAGCCAACAGCTCAGGAGCCTGACATCCAGCATAAATATAGTCTGACATATACTATAAATATAGTCTACTTAAAACATTTTATAGTTTAAAATTTGGTTTCATATTTAATGAAATCATTGGCAGGAAAACTGAGTTATATAGCCCTGTCATATATTGTCTATACAACAGGACCACTCTGAAATATTTGTCATTCAAGTTTGAAAAATTCTTAAAAACAATAAATACGACTATCAACAAAAACTAATAAGTAAAAAAACCTGAAGCTTTTAACATAAATTTCTGTCAATAATGAAATTCCAACCACACAACAAATGCTGTATGTGTGCCTGAAATTCTTACAACCTATACAAAACTGCCCTTGATGTTTTTCAAGCCTATGCAAAAATACATGTTTTTTGTGCTTGTTGAGCAACATAATTTATTTTTGTTCTGAGTATAATTTACTGTTTTGCCATAAATAAAGATGGATTTTTACGAAATAAATGTAGTTTAACCACTTCCATATAAAACAGCGAGTAGATAAAGACGTTGATGTTTTCTTGCAGCTCTCACTGAAAAGAAAAGGCAATAAAGACGGGCAGAAAACAGAGAAAAAGATCCCACAAACCCCAGTCGAGGTGAGTCAGTGTTTAAAATATTTAAGAATCAACCATGATTTATGTGTTTCGTGGACTCAGATGTTATTTAAATGAAAATAAATACACAACGACCAAATTATCAGAAGGATATTAACCTTTACTCCTTAAAAGGAAGAAAACGAGGATCTGAAATGCCAGCTGGCCTTCATCAAGGAGGAAGCCGTCCTAATGAGGAAGAAGATGGCAAAGATCGACAAAGACAAAGACCGGCTGGAGCAGGAGCTGCAGAAGTACCGATCCTTCTACGGGGACGTGGACAGTCCACTGCCTAAAGGTGAGGCTGGAGGGCCTCCCACCACCCGTGAGTCTGAGCTGAAGCTCCGTTTGCGTCTGGTGGAGGAGGAGGCCAACATCTTGGGGAGGAAGATTGTGGAGCTGGAGGTGGAGAACAGAGGCTTGAAGGCTGAGCTGGATGACATGAGGGAGGACAGGTACGCTTATTTTCACTTGTTCAGCATGAAGTCTCAGTGACTTTAATAAAACGTGCTGAAGAATTTGTAAATGACTTTTTAAAGCTAAAAGTAGAAAATGGTTAACTACAATTTAAATATAAAAATCTTGCTAAAATCTGAAAGTAGATAAATGTTAGCTTAAAGCTAAAAACAGCTAAAGGTTGTTTAAAAGTACCAACAATCTACAAACTAAAAGTAAAAAAAGGTAAACAAACAAGCAAAAATACTAAAATTTAAAGTTGCAAAAGTCTCGCTAAAAGCATCAAAACGTTAGCCACAAACTAAAGTATCAGCACTAAAAGTAGCTAAAAGGTAAAATTACTTAAAGTCTAATACCTAAAAGTAGGAAAAATGACCTAAAATCTAAATATACCAAAATGCTTGCTAAAATCTGCAATGCCTAAAATGTTAAATTAAAGCTAAAATGAGCTAAATGCTAGCTAAAAGCAGTTCATGATTTAATATAAGGAGCGAAAAGCTACAAACTACAAGTAAAACAAAGCAAAATAAAAGCTAACAGAAGCAAAATGCTAGCTAAACGTATCATAAGGCTTGCTAAAAACTAATGTCTCTGTGGCCACCTTGCATAACCACAGCAGCTAAAAGATAAAACATCTAGCTAAAATCCAATAACTAAAAAAAGTCTAAATAGAGAATTTGGAGCAAATATGCTGAAATTTCAAAGAGAACAGTATTTTTGAAAGCAGAGAAGAAATATTAATGTATTTCAGAAATTCAGCATGATATTTCAGTGACTTGGCTAAAAATTGCAAAAGAATAAATCCAAAAGAAGCTGAACACTTGCCTAAAGCTAAAAGTAGAAAAAAAGGTAAGCTAAGATCCTAATAAATATTTGATACAATCTGAAAGGAGCAAACTGCTACAACTCCAAATAAAAACCTAAAGAAAAGCTAACAGAAGCAAAATGCAAGCTAAAAATGAAAAGACTAGCTAAAAGTATCATAAGTCTAGCTAGAAATCAAAGTATCAGTGGCTGCAGCAACACTAAAGTAGCTAAATGTTAGAACAACTAGCTAAAATTTAACTAAAAATAGAAGAAAACACAAGAAGATGACTTCCAAGAAGGACACCCTAATGCATTCTTATGTATTTCTGTACAGGACATATTTGCAGTAAGTTAAAATGTAAAAGTTACAAAAATCAAAAGTCAACCATCTCCTGAATAAACTGAACTGTTTAATCTATGAATGATGACAGAGCACAAAGTATGCAGACACTAAATTAGAAGATTTGATTAAAAAGAAACTAAAAAAACAACAATTGTGTGAATGATAATACCAGAAGCAATAACTCTTATTTAGGAAGATGTGTAATATTTGGAAGATGAAATACTTATTTTTACCATGTTTCTGTTGCAGCCTGGCAGCAGCAGGAGTGGATGGCTCCGGCAGTGAGGGTCAGCAGAGCAGGGAGCAGGGGGAGGCCCTGTCTGAACTCAGGCAGCAGCTTCAGCTGGTGGAAGACGAAGCCGAACTGCTGCGCAGAAATTTAGCAGACGTAGAAGAAGAAAACAAAAAGGTAAACTGTGAAGTTCCACTTGCTTTTACTTTAGGGTCTAATGAACCGTCCTTTCAGCCGAAAACATAGGGAGTCCTTCTGCCACTCTGCACTGATTCATTTCAGCAATGTCGGGTGTCTGACCTTTACCATCTGCCAGTATAGATGCAAAAACAGAAAACTGATGCGTAGGCCTACTTTTAAAGCTTTTGCTGTTTGGGCAACAATGTTTTATACAACTATTTTGTTTTGTCTTTAGGTGACAACGGAGCTCAATAAACTCAAGTACAAGGCTGGGTCCCATGAAGCTGGATCAAGACATGGAGGAGGTTAGTTTTTATTTCAACCATCTGTGCATCAGGTGGATAAGTTTATCCCACAGAACCACCCATGTGTTCCTACCCCCCCTCAGGAGGAAGCGACCCCGCCAAGGTGGAGGCCCTGCAGGAGGAGCTGAAGGCGGCTCGCCTGCAGATCAACGAACTGAGCGGCAAAGTCATGCAGCTGCAGTACGAGAACCGCGTGCTGCTCTCCAACATGCAGCGCTACGACCTGGCCTCCCACCTGGGCATCCGCGGCAGCCCCCGGGACAGCGACGCCGAGAGCGACGGAGGCCGGGACGACGACACGCCCTCGGCCTCGGCCGCCTCCCCGCGCCTCCTCCCGCCCCACCGCAAGCGCGAGGGCCCCGTCGGAGGCGAGAGCGACTCGGACGAGGTGAGGAACATCCGCTGCCTCACCCCGACCCGCTCCCTCTACTCGCCCGTCGACAGTCGTTTTTTATCGCGGAGCCTGAGGGACCGGCAGCAGATGATAGACATCCGCATCGAGGCGGAGAGGCTGGGCCGGACCATCGACAGGCTCATCGCTGACACCAGCACTATCATCGCAGAGGCTCGGGTCTACGTCACCAACGGGGAGCTGTTCGCTCGGCTGGACGAGGACGAAGAAGGTGGCAGGTACTGAAGTTCAACAAATCATCACAGCAGTGTAAGAACTGTTTTTACAGCAATCTACACGAGTCTACGTCTGCTCCTCAGGATCAGAGAGCACGAGCTGCTGTATCGTATCAACGCTCAGATGAAAGCCTTCAGGAAGGAGCTGCAGAGTTTTATAGATCGACTGGACGTCCCCAAGCAGGACGATAAACAGGCGGAGGAGCCACTGTCTGTAAGCCAATAGAAGCACGAATAACTAGGGCTGCAACAACAAATCGAGAACATCGATAAAAATCGATAAAAATCTATTATTAAAAGCATTGGCAACAAATTTCATTATCGATTTGTTGTGTCGCGCGATTTATGCGTCCCTCGTCATGTCGAGGAGCCGTTTACGTCACCCGCAGAGCACTGTCAATGCTGGCTGACCTAAATAAAGTTTGGGAAGAAAAAAACTCTACCTGTAAAGACCCGCCCTCTCTGAGACCCTCGAGTGAAAAGTAGAGACTTCGAGCTTTAAACCAGTTTTTAAATTGTGTTGTTAGGCCAAGTAGATCTGAAGTTATGATAAAAAGTATATGACACATTTAATTTTTTTAAATGACGGTCTGATTTGATGCGAGCCACGAGGAAGCACGTCCCGTAGGGGAAACAAAACAAAGAACAAATAAATTAATAAAACTCAGTCCATGATTTGTTTACTCCTTCCCTCGGGCCAGAAATATAAAACCCTCCAGTCTTTTTTTCTGACCGAGGATCAAAGTTATTTGTTAAGCAGCCAAAAACTTCAGGACGAAGGAAAAACAACAACAACAACAACAACAAAAACAAGACGCGAGCAGAACTCCTGGTCTGATTCAGTAGTGTGTGTGTGTGTGTGTGTGGGGGGGGTTGCTTCAGAACCGCTTACTGAGTCATAGAACACCGTTTTAGCCACAGACATAATCAACAAGAAGGAAGCAAAACGTAAAGAATTAGAGAAAAATAGACAATTCTAAATGCAAATAAATTCTAATTACACTAAAAAATTAATAATAGTTTTACATCTAAAAATCACATTTTATTTTTAATGTGTTTTCCTCATTCAGCAACCTATTAAATTTCTGTTTTGTTATGTTTTATAGCTATAACCAAGTTTATTAATGTATGAGAAATCCACATTTTTTCTCAGTCAGTGTTTAATACAGCTGGCTAAAT